TTATTTATTTTGTATATATATATATATATATATATATAACAGGCCTAATATTAACGTATTACGACGAATGTGTAGCTCATATTGTAACTGGTCAATTAATGTTTAGTGTAATATTCTAATGGAAATGAATTTAATAAAACATGGAAGTTGAACTAATCTAGTCCCTCAGTTCTTGACATGGAATGTCTTAAATATGATTGCTTTTGTAGTCGTAAGCATATAACTTTTGTTGTTGTTGTTAGAAAACAAAATTTAGAGGTTTGTAAACTTTTCTTGATTTATCGCCTTAACAACAAGAAAATAAACAAAGAAGAACAAATTATATTATATTTACTAATGATCCCTTTCGTACACAAAATTGATAATGGATATATATATATACACACACACAGAGATAGAAAAAGCAGACAAGAATAAACAGCAAGGAAGTTGGCATTAAGCCTTGTCTCTACTCAAGAGCTTGTACAGGTTTCATAAAACCTACTAAGAATTTATCTTTTTTCTTTAAAGATGAAACAAGAATCAGTAAAAAATTCAATTTTACAAATATTTCTTTTACTAATTAAACATAAGAGTTCTACTTATAACTACTTTTTAAGGATACCTACCTACCTACTAAGATGTACCTGCCAGACGACTTTCTGCTCCTATGGCGACAGTTTGTTATCGTCCTGAAGAGGGCTTTGATATTGCCAATAAAAATTATCACAATTATTAAATAATAGCAAAAACAATAAAAAGTCATACTTATACCAGTGATTCATTTCGAACTGTTTATCAGTATATTTTAAGTAGAACACTTATTATAGTCATTTTAATTGATTTAACAACGGTGTTTGATCACTAAATTTTGCCCGATTAACAATAATCTGAAAGAAAAAAAATGAAAATAGTAAAAAACAAACTCCCGAAATCATCAAATTAAAATTGCATTTTATATTGAACTCGTGTTTTTATTTTAGCCATAATATCACGTTTTAGTCATGTTCAAAGGTTAAATTGCCGCCAAAACCTCTTATAAATCTTGACAATTAATTGCATTTATAGCGTAAAATTTCTCTAAACATATTTAATAATCAGGTATGGTGATTCTGAATTGAAAAGCTAATATGCAATCCGGACTTCTCGGACAAAGGCCTTTCGTACGATACGAGATTTGTAGCGGTTGTTTGTTTTTGAATTTCGCGCAAAATCTACACGAGGGCTATCTGCACTAGCCGTCCCTAATTTAGCAGTGAAAGACTAGATAGAAGGCAGCTCCACCCAGTCACCCACTGCCAACTCTTTTATAAACGAATAGTGAATTTGACCGTCAAATTATAACGCCCCCACGGCTGAAAGGGCGAGTACTTTTGGTTGGACGGAGATTCAAACCTGCGACCCTCAGATTGCAATGTCGAGCCCCAAACCACCTGGCCATGTCGGGCCTTGTAGTGGCTGATCGAGAAAAGTTCCGGATAGACAAACGCATGCGCATTATTCATAGACTTTCTAATCTCATACCTGAATTGTTACATTGAACAAACAGTGAGCAACAAATTTGCAGTCCCACTGCTGCTACCAAGAGCACTTCAAGAAAATATGGTCAAAAGTTCTACGTCTATAGCAATTCTCATCGTAACCAACATTCCAAGTTATATATTCCTAAAGTTAAATGAAACTATAAAATGTTATTATTTAACACTACAGAATAGCAAGCTTAGGTGTATGTATACGTATCACACAATTTAAATACTGATAGTTTTATATCGTTCTTCAAGAACATTTTCATAACTTGGTATACACGCACGAATAAAAAAAAAAGAAAAACGCATAAAAGGGTACGTTTCTGTCCAGACTTTTCCTAATTTAAATAGTAGGCCTATATGAAGTCATTATTGGAATCGTTCTTCAGGAGAAACTTAAAACAATGCACATACGAAAGTTCCGTTATAATCCTTTCCTTCGAGAAAGTTCCTTGTGGCTAGAAAAATCTAATCTCGGTGATCCTCGGCTATTCAACATTCCTAGAAGACTTTACGTTTTTGAAATTTTCACATTTAAAATGAATGGGTTAAACTTTACTGCTGTGACTGTGAATACCTTTAACAAGCTGGAAATCATGATTATCTTACTATAATGCACGTAACGTGTATATACATTATTTTATATATGTATGCTGACAAAATAATAAATATAATGTAGCGCCATCTATCGAATGCCACCATAAATATTTTCCCACTTTGGGTATTCAAGAAATCAGAAAAATAACTATGGTATGTGCAACAACCACTTTTCCTTGATCACAGAACACAATTTTAAATAAAAGTACTCTCCTCACAACAAGAACTCGACTTTAACTAGGGCTGTGCGTGAAGGTTTGATTATATCTTTATTGATGTATTTTGTAAATATAGTACTAAAAAATAGAGTTCTTAGAAAACTTATTTTTTCTGTAAAGTGTACCACTTTTAATATATAAAGGTTTATATCAGCACAATTCGTACACTTTTCCCATGCAGTACTTCCCAGAAAAATCTTTTTTTTTAAAATGTTTACTTTTTCAAAATATTTTTCAATGAAGCATGAATACAACAATTAGTAATTACTATCACAAACAGCCGCCCATAAGGCGGCGTTTCTGCTAGTAATTATAGTTATCATAAGACAATAGTTTTAGGTATATTTCTAAACATTACATTCTTTATCTAGCCCCTTAGGAATTTTCAAGAATTAGGAGAACGTATAATAATAGTATTCCAACCACACTATATTTATTGTTGACGACACGTTTCGCTCAATCCAGAACTCATCAGGCCGATTGGGATACAACACACACACCAGCGGTCGGAACACTATTTATACAAGCCTTGCTACAAGAATTGTTATGGTGTGAATGCCTTTTACAAGCTCATGTAGCATGATTATAAATCTCATAAGTTGTTAGTATTAGGCCTATTATATTTTTAACATTACGTTATTTATTTTGTGTATGTATATATATATATATATATATATATATATATATATA